GGCTGAGAACGGCCGTGCGTTCGTTTACGGACCCCAAGCGACGCTAGGTGTATGTATCCGTACAGTGTATGTGCGCGCATGCGAATGTAAGTGTCTGTGCACACGCACGCACACGTGTGCATGCACGTACGAGCGTGGATCTGCATGGGCGCGTATACACACATAAGCTTATGTACACGCGAGGCTACATAGCGAGTGGGTAAGAATGATGACTTCTGGAAACGGGCAGACATGTTTCATTTCTTCTCTTACCACTTAGCGGTGTGAGATATGACCACACTATACTGTAGGTCAGTCGCTTGCGTGCTCCATCCGATAACGTTACGGAATCTTACAGCGTTCATAGAAATCTCAGGGGCATTTTAGAGCAAAATGTGAATAAGAGTTTATACCATTGCAGACATCTTCACTACCCTTCCCCTCTCCTTTACAACTATCTGTCATCCACAGAGACACAGATACTTTAGTAAGCAGAATAAAATGATATGATCGATAGAATAAATAACTAGAAGATTACAAAAATATCTGAAAGAAAAGAACTCCTTTAGAAGAGCATTTTATAACCCAAGGGAGTCTCTTAAACCATCTTCATGGGCAATTGTTTTTCTCGTTCCAACTAATGAGCTGTTTTGTATGAAACACAACTTTCTGTCACAAGCAAATTTTCGCTGTTTAGAAATGTTGAATTCCGCCTTGCTCTCCTTCCAGGATTTTCTCATCAAAACAGATCTCGACACTTTCAGAGCATTATACATTTCATGCAGAAAATTTAAGGCCAATATATTTAAAGACGGCACATAAGACAGTTGAGATAAATGTTGAGTGTGTAAAATCAGTATTTTATGATCAAAATATTTGACTGTCTGTGGTTAAATTCTTTTCCCCTTTTTAACTACCGTGTCAGCCAGTGTATTTAAAGAATTTTTAAAGAGAATCGATTCCTTTGTTTCTCAGCAGCTTTGCCCTAACAATCTAACTTAAACTTCCGCCTCGCCAAACGATTATTGCAAAAGTGAATACCTGTGTCAAATATGCACGTGATTTTTATCTCAACTCCTTTAAAAAAAAAACTGCCACCCATTGGATGAAGCCTTCACCAATGGTTCAAGAAAATCTAGTTCCCCATCGACAAACTTGCCCTACGCTATTTGAGAAGTGTTCTATACAAGAAAAGTATTGATTCTCGTGAATACACATTGGACTCATTATTTGACAGAGCTGGTGTTTTCTATCCAAATGTAAGTTGTGTTATACGCAAAAATTCTATTTCACACAACGTAAGTGGATTGTAAGACATACAATAAATGTCAAAGAAAACTGGTTTCCCCTGCAAAAATATCTAAAAAGTCAACTTAAATGATGGTAAATAACTCATAAAATCAAATATTTTAAATATAACCAAGACATGAATTATTAAAAGTTAATGTATTAATTATTAAAGTTAACAAATAGTTTATGAAACATTTGAAATGATATTCAGGACAGAAATAAAGATGTGCATCAAAAGAAACATCAGTTAAAACGGATGAGGTTTCAGAACCAAAGTAACTGAAATTTGGAGTTGGAGAGTTTTCATCATGTAATCACTAACGTTTCTAACATTTAGTTCAGTTTTCACTAACAATAAAATGTATTAGGAAATAGACAAACTCCCTTTCAAGAAGTAAAAAAAAAAAAATTTATAAAGCACCAGAGTGGAATATTTTGGGGGCCAAAATATCTAGGTTAGTACATGTCACCCAACTGATCCATTCTTTATGTCCTCAAGCATAATGATAGCCATTCTTCTCATGCATGTTTGTTATGACATAATGCTTTTCATGAGTTGACATGCCACGTCAATTTTCTGACCTTCTGGGTAATTTTTTTCTTATAAACCCCATAAACAAAAATAAGTATTTGTTTTTTGTTATTGAGATCTTGATGAAAGAAGGTTAACAAATAGGAATATAGTAACAAATGCTATTTATGTACACAGCACTTCAATACTGGACATACACACAGGGATTTCAACAGCACCCCATTTTATTGTAAATTATGTGCAATCCAATATTTCTGTTAGAAATTTACCAAAGAAAGTTATGCAAATTCTTTGGTTTATCATGAATATTGTTCAATGACAGAACTAGCAAATCAAATATTACAAAATACCCTATTAAGTTAATAACATCAATTTCGTTATTTATTCTGTATTTACGGGTTAAAATATATTGATTTCACCAATAATCTGTAAACTTACTAAGACCCTGAAGGGCTTCGCATTTCAAGAGTACTGTTAGAATGACATTTATAAACATTTCCATTTTATTTCCAGTAAACTCAATAACTGAAGACATTAAAGTATTCTAATTTATTGTTTCTATCTTATCATATAGCTTAATATTTCCATGTATGAGTACTAATTCATGTAAATGTTACCTATTTTAAAATACCGCCAGAAAAATAAAAAGTTAAGTGCCCAGATTAAGTTTGTTACCAAGGTAATTATGTTTAGAAATGTTAGAAAGTTGGAAGATATTCTCCGATTCGAGCGAATTAATTTAAATAAAAAAATTAAATATCGATCTGGTCATATTAAATGAATCTTAATTTTAATTGGAAGAAAATAGTACTATAATAAGGATTAGAGAAACTTATATTTTAAAAAATGCCGATTTAGTATTTTCTGTATACATTAGATTTCCTTCAGCTGTCTTAGATAAGACATCAACATTTTATTGTATTCTTTGGCTTATAGTAATTACTCGATGAGTAGCTCCATCCAAATAAACCTAACGAGAAAGAAGGTAAACTGAGTCACTAGAAGGACTCGATGTTTCGGTTCCAAAGAATTTCATATATTTTGGGGGCAATTATCATTGGTTCTGCTTTATGTTCCATTTGCATATTTTATGCACTGTTCTTAATGACATCTCGCCTTTTCGAGTGACACCGCCTTGGTGCACGATAGTCGTGGCTAAAGTTGCTGTGGAAACTGACACTATTGATCAATCAGTTGGCACTTATGCCGAAAGCCTCACTCTCTTCCAGATAAATTCTCTAGTCTTTAATCTTCAGCTTAGACTATAATTAACCATTTTTCTCCAGATAGTACAAATTAATTTCCTCAGAAGACCTTTAAGCTAAGTGATGAATATTTTTTAAATACTGATATTAAATACTGAACACAACCGTGGTTTTGGTGACAAAGCGCTTTGCCATTAAAAAAAGGTTGTATTTACTTGTAAATAGACTATACTATAATGCCACTATTTAAAATACAAATTTCAAAAAAAAAACCCCAACATTTCCACATATCAACTCAAAGAAAGAACATGCTTACACGCTTACCTATGGTCTGGTTTACTTTTCTAGTCATTTTCTAAGATTTTTTTCAGGAACTCATAAATATGTTTTCCAACAGAGACAATCTCCATAATCATTTTTTATTATACCACCATGACAACCAGTAATACCAATGACAACAGCCCAGAAAGATCCAATAGAATTATTCATTCGGCAATCGCTCAACATCAACAGAGTTTCTACAATATTTATCTCAGGAATTTCAGTAAAACATGATATTCAAGTACCAGCTTTGTTAGGGAGAAGGGGACAAATGCCAGGGTTTTTCAAATGTGGAAGCCTTGTCAACCTGCTGAGCAAACATTCTGTATGATGACTGGGCAGGTTAGGTTTCACAGGTGACTGACGTAGATTGTCTTAGAAACATTGTCCTAATGTTAAGCAAAAAGGGAATTATGTGAAGTTAGGGTATGTAGAAGTGGTAGAGATTAAGAAATTTTGAAAGCAAATAGCATCTATTAATCTTAAATCAGCTTGTTATGCTCCGAAGAATAAATGATTCCCTGATAGTCGCTAATATACTTAAAGCCAGTGATGCCGGTTTATATGTGAACAAACACCATGGCCTGGAGTCGGAACAGTTTATCACACCAACGATCGTTACACACAAAACTCCGACTGAAAGGATAAACTAGTTTGTTTCCACATGTGCGAAGAAGATATTCTCCCCTTCCGTTTCCTGATAACTGCATAGCAGCGATGGTCAGGTGCAGACACGCTTACAGACCTTACTTTCCAGAAAGAACGACTCTGCCCAAGTTCATGAGTGCTTGGAATAAGAGCGCATGCAGCCGCGACCCAACCCAAAATGACCTCCCTGGACCCGGAAATGTGTTCTGAACAAGATGGGCCACAGTCTTTTCTTCAATTGGCGGGACCAGAGTTTATTTATGTTAAAAATCATGGCCTTCGTGCTACACATGAAAGAAAATTGTAAATGTCTATGTGAAATAAGCCTAAAATAGACACACCTCAGCATCCGCACTAAGAGTATTACTAGAGCAGTTTTGTAAATTCGAGTGCTTTCTGTGATCATCTGAATCATTTCTTCTATCAACCGTTAAACCCTCTTTTATCGTTTTAAAGTTTCTGCCCCGAAGTAGTTCAATAATGAAGCGCGACCCCAAAGGGAACTAGGCACAAATCCGAGAACGTGAAAACAAGCAAAACCCGAGCCTGACACCAAACAGTAAAACCAAAATATTCTCCAGCAAAAGTTCCATCTTCGAAAACAAAAACTCATTTCACAGAACTCCCTTCACTCAAAGACTGACGATCAGTATTATTATCCAACAAACTTTTTAAGAAATCTCATCTGCATTAAAAATAAATTCTTCACGGAAAAGGAGTGCTGTTAAGTAGGATTCGCGATTCTCAAAACTTCTCCGACACATCAAAAGAAAAACCACTTTTCCAATCAAAGAGAATTCTATCAACAAAGGAAAACTGTAAACACACGTTTTGTGCTAAAAAGTGTGGTAATGATAGCCAACCACATTCTCCAGCCATTAACGCGGCACGCAAATGTCAAACGTTTGAGCCATTAAGTCGCCTGTGAAATAGTGGCTCGCGTTTACACCGAAATCCGCCATCCAGAGTGGCAAGGGCAAGGCCGCCCGGCCGTGAGTGTGTGCAGAGCGCGGCGAGCGTCCTACCTTCGTACAGGGCTTTAAATCCTTGGGCGCTGACGGCGAAGTCGGTTGTGAACCACAGCGTGAGGACGGATCCCGTGCTGACGACGGAGGAAGGCAGCTGAAACCCCGACAACCTAAGTTCCAGAAAACAGGAGAAGGAGGTTAAAGAGCGTGCGGTTGTCACTGAAGCTAACGGATGCGTATGTTCGATGCTTCTTTTCACTGGAGTGTATTTATTGGAGGTATGTTATCAACCAACGACATGATGCGCACACAAGGCGTTGGTTGCTAGGTAATGAAGCAGGTGCGAACACAGGAGTTGGGTAATTAAAACCATTTTGGAAAAGATTCATTCTAGAAGGAATGTACCATACACCATTGTCTTAAGCAAAGCACAGAGAACTTAAAATTATGCAGAGTCATCCTCAGACAGGCTGCAGAAAATAAGATGATATTGCATCTGCCTTTGAGTTTATTATTTCCCTCTTGAATTATTACATGATGAGTTGTCGATCTCAGAGTTAATGTGCTTCTTCTTCATATCTCCCCCCAATAAATCACAGTTTATATTGAAAACGTATGCTAGTCACAGCATAACTGAAAATCAACTGTGACCTTGAACAGAGGTCAAATTTTATTTAGATTTCAAGACAAGTCTTTTGAATTCTAAGATATATCTTTCACCTACCGCTGGTTTTAGATATATTTAGAAATCTCAACGATAGGAAAGTTGGAACTCTGAATGAGTGAACTCGTATAATAACATGCATAATGCTTTACAAACTAACGGCTTTTCAAAAGGTCGAAGAGATGCTTCATCAATTCATAGTTCACCCGAAGTTGGCTAATTAGGTAGTTTGTCTCTAAATATGTGGTTTCATATAGTCTGAACACAAACTTCTGATGCCGGGAGAAATCAACCTGCACATTCATTCCCCATGGGAGACATTCTGGCTTGCCAGTGATTCTATGGCACTGAACCTAATTACGGTCTCTGTAGGTTGCAGAATCAAAATAGAAACGAATAAGAGAAAATTGAAAGGGCAATTGTCAATCACTAAACAGCACACTTCTAAATAATCCATGAATCAGAAAGTCTAAAGAGAAATTAAAAAAAAAAATACATCCCACTAAGTCAAATTTAATATGCAAGATATCAAAACTTGGAGGACTCAGAGAAGCATCGCTGGGAAGGAGATCGATAGCTCAGAAAACATACGTTAGCAAAGAGGAAAATTCTCGCATTAATAATCAAAGCTCCTATTTCAAGAACTTACAGAAGAAAGAGTAAAATCAACCCGAAGCAAACAGAAGGCAAGAGATAAGAGAGAAATACAGAAATCAGTAAAGTCGAAAACAGAGAATCCGTAGGGGAAAAAAGCAATGAATGAAAAGAGATAATTCTTTGAAAAGATTGACGGAATTAACAAACTTGTAGCAAGATGGAAAAAACAAAGAGAGGGTGGCAGGATAACTAATATCAGGAGTCAAATAGCGAGTCGTTATTATAGACCCCCAGACATATAAATAATAAGAAACTACTACAAAAACTACACACATAAATTCGTCGGCTTAAATAAACACTTTCTTAAAAACATAAACTCTACCATAGCTCATCCAATGTGAGACAGGAAACTTGAACGACCCTGTCACTATTAAACTACCCGCAGGAGCTCTCCAGTCCCAAGTAATTTCACAGGAGAATATTACTGCCACAGCCTGAAGATTTGTCTTACCCCCAAATTTGTGTGTTGAAATCTAATCCCCAATGAGATGGAAGTAGGAGGCGGCCTTCTGGGAGATGATTAGGTCACGAGGGTGGAGCCCCTAGGAGTGGGGGACACCCTTATAAAAGAGGCTTCGGAGAGCTACCTCGCCCCTTCTGCCACACGAGGACACGGCCAGAGAGATGCCATCTGTGAAGCAGGACGTGACCCTCGCCAGACACTGAAGCAGCTGGCACCATGATCTGGAACTCCCTGGTCTCAAGAATCGTGAGAAATAAGTTTCTGTTGTTGACACGCCATCCGGTCGACGGTGTTCTGCCATATACACCATGGCATCCGCCTCACGTGTGAAGCCTTAACACCAGTTTTACACAATCTGCGGGAAAAGGGAGTGGATAGAACACTTCCTTCTGCCCTTCTCTTACGGGCTGTGGACTGAATTGTTGTCCCCAGAGTCACCTGCTGAAGCTTTAACTCCCAATGAAACTGCAACGTGAACACAGGCGTTTCAGAGAGCGATGAGGGTGAAATAAGGTCATGCACTCGGGGCACTAACCTGATAAGCTCGGTGACCTTGTAAGAAGAGGAAGAGAAAGAGAAATACATCTCTCTCCCTATTGCATCCCCCACACATGAGCGCTGAAGCAGTTACTGTGAGCGCACACTCAGGATGCAGGGTCTGCAAGCCGGGAGGAGGCTCCTCCCCAGAGCTGACACGAGGCACCCCGACGTTCGCTTCCAGCCTCCAGAGCTGTGAGAAAATAAATGTCTGTTGTTGAGCCTCCAGTCATGGTAATTTGGGGGGCAAATCAAGCTGATTAAGACGCCCTGATACTAAAACCAGACCAAAAAACTGTGAAACACCTCCCAAGAAATCAATACCCTCAATAAGTATAGATGCAAAAATCCTTAACAGCATTAGGAAAAAAGAGAAATAAGAAATATGAAAGAGCTCTTCAAAATAACCAAACGGCATTGATTCCAGGGACGTAAAGATGGTTCGGTCTTTGAAAATCAATCCGTGTAAGCTGCCGTAATCACAGAATAAAGAATGCGAGCATAAGATCTCAATAACGTGTGTACGAAAAAGCGTTTGAAAAGCGTGAACATCCGATCACGAGAGAACCTCTCAGCGAATCACGAATGGAGGAAAACATCCCCAACTCGACGGTGAGTGTGCACAACAAACCCCACAGCTAACGACATCTCATCTCGTGGTGACAGACTAATGCTCCCCCCGAGGGCTGAGAGCAAGGCAAGCTGTCGGGTCTCACCACTGTCATTCAGCCTTGTGCTGGGACATGGAGCCAGGGCAGCAAGGTAAGAAACGGAAGGGCGGCGAAGGTCGAAGGGATTAAGAAGTACACGTTTCCAGATGTTAAAATGGTCGCAGGGACACACCGTACGGCACGGGGGATCCAGTCGGCAGCGTCGTAACGACCATGTGTGGAGCCGATGGGGACTCGGCTTCACTGGGCGGTCGCCTCGTAAGGCACGCGGATGTCTCGTCACTACACCGTACACCTGACATGAACATGATGCTGTATGCCAACCGTAAGGGAACAATAAAATGGAAGAACAAACCGAAAAACGGAAACGAGGGCATACAGACCAGAGAGGAGGAAATAGGACCGTCCCTGCCGGCAGGCGACACCATGCTACACAGAGGTTACGCCGAGGAACGCGCAACAAACTCCCGGGGCTCATGCCGGAAACAAGCGCGTGTGCAGGACACACGCCAACGCGCACAATTCAGCTGCGTTGCCACGTCCCGGCGTCGGACACACAGGCACCGAAACTAAAGACACGATGTTCGCCACCACTCAACACAAGAAAATGTTTGCATGTGCAAAACTATATCCCAAACACTGAACAATGCCCACGACAGAAATCAGCAAACTGCCAAGTAGACAAAGATACCATGCTGACAGACTGGGAGACTCGACATGGTAAAGATGTCAACTTTCCCCAAATTTATAGAAAGTTTTAACACGATTTCTATCAAAATACCAACAAAAAATTTTTGTTATTTTTAAAATTTTTATTATTATTATTATCTATGCCTACAGCACCTGGTCTTCCTAGGTGGTCTCCCATCCAAATACTAACCAGGCACGACCCTGCTCAGCTTCTGAGCTCAGACATGGGGCTCGTTCAGGGTGGCGTGGCCGTAGACCATGGACCGTGGTGCCGCCGGGGCGCGAACCCAGGACCTTCTGCGTGTAAAGCAGACGTGCTCACCGCTACACTATGGAACCACGTCCAAAAATTTTTGTAGATATAGACAAGATTCTTCTAGAATGTATTTGGAAAGCCAAAGAAACAGAATAGCTTACACTGTCTTAGGAAATAATGAAGCAGGAGGAATGAGTCTACTATTTTCAAGACTCCTTTTGCAGCTACAGTGTGAAGAGCATGCGGTGTTGGCAGAGGGTAGACCAGACATTGGTAGACAAGAACAGAGAACCCAGAAACAGACCCACAGAAATATGCCCAGCCGATGTTGACGAGGTGCAAAGCCAACTCTGTGGAGCAACGTGGCCTCTAACAATGCTTCAGGCAAGAGCAACGAAAGTCTAGCCCTAAGCCTTGCACCTGTGTAGTAACTCACTCAATACAGATCACAGACGTAAACATAGAATGCCAAATAAAACTTTTAGAGGGAAAAACAAAAAACAAAAAAACATAGGTTCTAGGGCAAACAGTTTCTGGGCTAAACAGCAAAAGCACAGTCAGATAAAGGAAAAATTGACATGTCGGATTTAATGACATTTAAAAAAAAAAATCTCCATGAAAGATCCTGTGAAGAGGATGAAAAGACATGCTACACACTTGGTAGAAAATATTTGCAAACCACGTATCTGACAAAGGACAAGTGTTTAGAATATATACAAAGAACTTTAAAGACTCAGCAGTAAAACAACAAATGTTGTTTTAGAAAACAGTCAAAAGACACAAAGAGTCATTTCATCTCAAAGGATATACAGATGGCAAAGAAGCACACAAAAAGATGCTCAACATCATTAGTCATTAGGGAAATGCAAATTAAAACCACAAAGAAAAATCACTATGCACCTCTTCAGAATGGCTAAAATAAAATTAAAAAAAAAAAAAAAAAGTAGTGACGATACCAAATGCTGGCCAGAATGCAGAGAAAATGCATTGCTCATGTAATTGCTAGTGGAGACAGTCACTCTGGAAAACATTTTGATGGTACCTTGAAGAATCAAACATGCAACTACTATATGACCAAGCATTTGCTCTCCTGGACATTTACCCTGAAGAAATGGAGATTTATCTTCATGCCAAGCCTGCGCGTTGAGTGTCTGGAGCAGCTTCATCCTTAATAACCCAAAATGGGAAGGAACCCAAATGTCCTTTAAGAGGTGAATGGCTCATACGTTGTG